GCGCCTATGAATGAACGCAGGTAAGATGCAGATTTCTAACTAAGGAACTCCTTGGAGCACAGTCCTTCTTCAAAAGCTGATAGTCGCTCTCTTAGTCAAAATATAAATCTGGGCAGGGGATTTAAAATTGTACCACTCACACACAGGATCATCGTGCGAAGTGTGAATAGGTCGGAGGACTTTTGCGACAAAGTTGGTTTTAAGAATGCGATTTGCATTTTAATTCATTTGAGTTAAGATTTAACATTGTCAAGCGAACAATTGCGTTCTGCGAGAGGAAATGCATCTGAATCAGCAGTAAATGAGCATAGCTGAGCGTGTACTTATTTTCGTTTCAGACGCAGTTTAAGTGTGGCAGTTCTGCGAGGTGCAGTGTACGCCATGGGCGGTCACGAGTGTGAGCATCGTGAAGATCTCAGAACAGCTGAAAGATACGACTGTAAGACAAACCAGTGGTCGTGGATCGCTCCCATGAACACAGGGCGATCCAGTGCAAGTGCAGCTGTACTGAATGGTACGTAAATGCTGTTAAATATAAATGTGTGAATTAGAGCAGAAGGCGAGGCGTCTGTCTGTCTGGGAATCTCAGGATTTGAGGTTCTCACGGCGGGGGGGATGAAGATACCTGTCGTTTCGCTTCTGCCGACGTTTCAGACGAACTTTATACATTCATCTTCAAGGCATTCCTCTTCGCTCTTGAACTTAGTTCCATTATCCAATATTCTTCTATTATCTCCTTCTTTTATCCGTGCTACGGACTACGTTATTTCACAGACAGCAACGGCTTGAAATTCTGAGTCCGTGATGGTTTCTTCTGCTCTTGTAAGCTGTCCCTCGACATGGTCTTCTGCCTTTGTAGTGTAAACTAGGATTAAGTGTAAACAACCACCAAACTATCAAAAACTAGGATTGAGTGTAAGCAACCATCAAACTATCAAACTGGCTCTCATATAATATAGATTTAATATGTTTTTGAGACGGTTAATAATCTCATGTAAATAGCACATTTTATTATAAATGTAGAGCAAATTTTGGCACCTCGTACCGTTCATCTCCGGTACCAAATTTAATAAAATTCATTTCACAGAAGATTTCCATTACGCATTAATGTAAGCACTTTGTGCTGTTTATATTAAATTTTATCAGTTAAACTCGTTTCCTTTGACACGCTGACTGTCTCCATTCGAAACAAAGAAACAAATGAACAGAGACGGCCGTGTCTGTGCAGTTTCCGTGACTCGAAGGGGGACTTAATAGATTTACAAATTTAAGTAGGGATTGTCCCATGTCTGTGCTCTGCATGGACCACTTTAATTATAGCTAATTTGTTTCAGACAAAATATACGTCGCTGGTGGATCATATTATAAGAATTGTCTAAACTCGGTGGAAGTTTATGACCCGGACACCGACCGATGGACGTTCGTTGGACCAATGCTCTCTGAACGTCGTAGTCTTTCTTGCGTCGCCTTCCATGGCTTCCTGTACGCCCTGGGTGAGAACTCTGGACATTCCGAGGGATGCTCCTCTATCCTTCTTACAGAAATCGCTATTGTGAAATGTTTTCCTGGTTTTCTTAGAGTGACTGAGATTTTATCAACAGGATTTTCTCCCGTCATTACAGAGTCAGTTTGTCAGTAATTTTAAACCCGATTCGTGGTTTCGATTAAATTCTCCACAAAGAACACTTAACTAACTAACTAACATTATATAATCTCTTCTGGTATCTATATTAAGGTACGCCTCATTTTTCACACAGTCCCAGTTTTGAAGGTAAATATTTTGTTCTTTTAGCAAGGAAAATTCAGTTTCGTCGCGCTGTTATCCCCAAAAAGCCGATGGTTTAAAGCAGTCCCTTCGCAGTCTTTGATATTCGTCACTTGTTTGTGTAACGCCTTTTTGAACAGTCCATCTAGTGTTGATATTTAAAGTTAATTTCGCACGTAGTTTCATGAAGCAGACGACAGATGTCAGGCGCAATTGCCTGATGCTACAAGTACGAAAATAATATTTTAGCTATTTCATCCTTAACTTCGTTCCTCGTACTAATATTAACAGTGCAAAAGGGAATGAATTTTCTTCGTTGCATTTCCGTTTACGAAAAATTTTAAGAGCGCAAAGTCCGTTGATTAAGCATTGAAGTTACGGGAAATACAAACATCTAGAAAGTTATAATTGGTAATGTTGAAAGATACCACTTGTGATACATAATCTTAAAAGGAAGTATAATATTAAAATGTTTTTAAGGATCTAGAGTATGTGAGAAGAGGTCAACTATCGACTTTTGTGAATAAGGTAATGAAACTTGTGGCTTCATAAAGACCAAACATTTCGTGGCCAGGTGACAGAGTTACAAATATCAAGAGGGGCCCCGCTGAATGGGGTTAGAATAAGTTCCCTTTGGCAGCTTTTTTATATGCTGTGGCCTATTACGGAATTTGTGTGTGCAGGAGGACTCAACGAGACATCATCCCTGCTCAGTACCGAAAAGTACGACCCTACAGAAGACACGTGGACCGAAATCCCTGGCATGAACGTCTATTCAGATTATTTAAATGCAGAAGTGTTCGACGACACGATCTTCGTCATCAGTAGATATTTTGACAAGGGCCACTCCGAATCCCGCGTCGCATGTTTCGATGACAAGGAAAATCGATGGTTTGTTTCTTTTTTTATTGTTCAGGACTGTACAATCACAAACTGTTACTTTCGAAAAGCTCTAGGAAGTGAATCATTTCCGGTCAAGGTAACCGCGATCTTGCGGATGCTGCGCCGTGTAGTGACGTAGAAACTGACCGACGTTTCAGAGGTTCTTACTGCTAATCAGGGACTTGAATACAGCACGCGAAAAATGGGTGAGAGGAAGAGGGTAGAATGAACGCAGGCAGGGCGACGTTGCGGTCAAGCTGAATCGTTAAAGCAGAGGGCGAATGACTGGGAAATGCTAATCAGACGCTAACTGTAACTGCATTAATAAGAAGCTCTTTGACTAAGTTTCTCTGACCAATCTCACTCTCTTGGGCAGGAAGTGTCTGGCTTTCGACACATCAGCATCGCCACAATCTTCCGCTTTCATCAAAGTCTTAGGCTAGTCTCATGTTCCCATTTTTGATCGAAGTTTATTTCAAAATGGCTGTCTCTTGCCGTGTTTGACAGTCTCCTGCCATCTGTTGACGGATTGAGTAAGGAGCTCCGAAAACATCCCAGAAGACAAATTTCTTCACACTTGTTTGTGCAAGAGCCAGAAAGCCCACAGAAATTCGTTTGATTTTGGTTTTTGTCTATCTTACGTGTAGCAGAACCTCTCCAGAACTATTTTTGGTGGGACAAAATTTTTTTGAAAATATATTCCTAAAGGAGGGAAATATTGTCATGGGCGTGTCTCAAACAAGACGTGCTTATCTCTCCAAAGAAAGTGTGTGATTAAATTTGTTATTCTGACCTAAGGTAATGGCTTAATGAAGTGTACGAAACGTAGTTAGCGCAGAACACAAGTCATTTGACAGCGTTTTAAAATAGTCATAACCTCTCCCTCCACTTTAATGTAATAAAATGTATTACGTCATAATAGGACGTTGGCCGGGGTTCTATGCGCATGAGTGAAAGAAAGATCACGTGGGAACTGTTCTGAAATATGGTGAGGCAATCGTATATCGAATTCCGATTAGGGGAATTTTTGTTTAGGTTGTCAGGAAACAAATTACAAGCAACGACATTCCGGTGGAAGCTGTGCCCTTAGCTTCAAGCAGTTTCCCATTCAACCCAAAGACAGAGCCAACCCATCAGACATGGATATTTTTGGGGCAAAACATTTTACGACTCGCAAAGATAATTCTTTTATGCTTATTCGACACCGAAATCTCTGATATTTTAGAACCCCAGAAGTAAAAGTTTATATATTTTTAAGAAAATGAATAATTTCTTTACATAAATGCACTGACATTCAAATTATGTTTCTATTAAATAAATTATTTATGTCAAGACGCATTCCTTCATGAGATTCATCATCGCATGTGGAGCTACATATTTTCTGTAACTGTGTCCGCGAAATGTGATAAAAATTGTCTTCAGTGTAGATAATACCGATGGACGATGAAAAAGGGTTTGATTTCACTTTTAATATTTCAAATTGCAGGTACCAGGCGGCAAACATGAATGTTAGGAGATCCTTTCTGTCGACTTGTGTCATCAAGAACCTACCGAACGCAAGAGATTACGCCTACAAACACAGAGACAAATTAATGGAGGAGAAATGCAA